AAACAGACCATGTATGAAACATGGAACAAAAATTATTTCCCAAATTTCAAATGTAAATCATGTAAATAAATGGATGTATTTCATCATATGTTGTGTTATTCCATCTTTGAACTGTTGATGAAGGTTCATGATTAAAAAAAAGGACTGACATATTTTATAGAAATAGTTTCCTTTCATTTTGAAGTAATATTAAAGTATTCAGAAGAAAAAAGCGACAAATGATGTAAAATCCTGCACCTTCTACTTGTTTGCACAATTTTCCCTTCGTTACTTTTCCCTCCGTCACCATGACCTTTCTTAATAAAAAATCTCATGACTCAAAAAGTAAGAGGTTTTTCAACCTAATCTTGTATCATATGGTAGAAAACTATATGAAGCAAATATTCAAACCAGTTTGTTAAGGATATGTAAGTGAGAACCAAGAGTTATCACTGTTTGGATTTATTGCCCAAAAAGTGCTGCATATTTCATTCCCTCCGTTACCAACATGGGTTTTTAAATTTTTTGTCAACAACTTGAAAGAATATCACAGGTTTAACTTGACCCTGTTGGAGTGTAACTCTTTCCTACATTCTGATACTTTACTTATTTCAATAGTTCCTCTAGTTTCTGAATAAGAGACATTTGAATGTCAAAAATCTGCCCCTGTTTCCCTCCGTTACCACTTGACCAGACCCATGTACATAAATTCTGACATAGGCTACGTTCAGACTGCAGGTCAGATTTTTTTGTGAAATCATTTTTTTTGCGAGGTCGTTCACATTTCCAATTAAATGTGACTTTTATGCAATCTCCAGTGTGAACTTTAAATGTCCCAAAAATGTCCTGCATGTGCATTGGAGGACACGACGACGTCACAAGCAGCGAGTGTTCTCAGTGTTTATGGAAGTTACCTAAACGCTGGGCTTGTCTCCCAAAATACAGTCCAGTTCTTGGTAAAATGGACAGGTTACACGTCCACGGCCGCTTCATTTTTTTTAAGTCTTTAGCCTCCTTGTATTTGTCTCGCAGGCTCTTCATTTTTTGTTGACATTGGAGCTTGGACGCCTGTAGCCGCGTTCGGACATTTCTTTGGCAAAACATTTCAAAAAACGCCCGGTTCCAAAAAGACCCCCCCAGTTTGGCCTGAATACAGCGATCCCCCCAAATATTAATAAGCTCTCTAACCTCACTTTCCTCCATTGACGAGACTCTGAGCCTGACGTGTAGGTGGGATGAATGTGACTTGGCCGTTCAGACTGAAGTCACATGTCAAAAGATCAGATATGTATCAGTTTTAGGAGCACATATCCAAGCGTCCTGGGTCGCATTTGAAAAAAATCAGATCTGTGTCGTTGAGACTGTCATTAAAAGATCTGTGCAGTCCAGATCTGTGGAGAGGCGACTCTGCTCACAGTAAAAACCTATTTTTAATATATATATTTTTGAGTATAAAACCACCTGCAATTGAATAAATGCAAAATAGACACATTTATTTCTATATTCAGGATTCCCACAGTCATGGAAAACCTGGAAAAGTAAAGGAAATGTCATTTTCCAGACCTCGAAAAGTCACACAACTACAGCGTTAAGTTCTGTTAAGATGACAATAAATGCACTGAGAGTATTTTGAATGTTCAGAAACTATGACGCCAAACCATAAGGTGTGGAAAGGATTAACATCTCATATTTAGCCCTAAAAGTCTGATCACTTCTACACATGTAGGTCATGGGAAATTCACTTTAGGTCATGAAAATGTCACAGAAACGTTTTGAAATTTTGTCAGTGAAAAAGAGTGAGAACCCTGAATATATATTTTTAAGTATAATAATATCAACATTTATGTTCATTCATATATCCCCAAAACATTTCTGTGTAAAAATGTATTTGTAAAATAAAACAAATCCCATAAACCTAATCAGAATATATTACACAAAATTGACTTTTGTGAACTTTAAGCCATGTTACAAAAACACACCTGGAGTTGTGTTTTGTTTCATTCACATGTTTGAGTAACTCTTTATCTGTCTACATCTTCAAAGCTCAAATTGCTCTGTTCCATCTTGTGATGTCATGAAGTGGTAGTTTTCATAGTATCAGCTACCATTTGTTCAGTAGGGATTGTAAATTCCAGGCCTGAAATTATCCAAATGATTCTAGTGAAGAGGTGTGGAGTTTAAAAACACAGTGGAGCACTTCCTGTATTACCACATGACATCACACAGTGTTTTCTGTTCACAAGAAAAACTCAGCTTAAATGTGCAGGGTTTGTGTGTTAAACATGTGTGAATGAATGAAACACAACCCCAGGTCTGTTTGTGATGAGGAAACAACATTAGAACATGGATCAGAAAATAGAGTTTTATATATAGGCCCTTCAAAGAAAAGATTTATTTATTTCTGGTATCCTTATTTTGCATTTTGATAGAAGAAATTGCTCCAAAATATTTTAGTTTTAGTTTATTATCTCCCCAAACCTTAAAACTTTGGACATACATTTGAAAAATCACTTAGGCTTCATTTGCAGGTCATTTGAATGCTGCCAGTGAAGTGTGCCAGGTGAGAATTCCACCCAAACCACAGCTCATCTGGTTGTGACCATTCGCTTCTAACATTTTACACTATCCATCATATTATAGAATCAATGACAGTTTTATCCATTGCCTTTTTCAACAGAGTAACCATAGACTGCATAAAGAAGTGCACAAAGTGAGTGTGACATCACCCATAGCGATCAACTCCAGTCAAATGAAGCTAATTGAGACTAACTTCTCCCATTCTGTCAACTGTCCTGACAAACTTTATTATTTCATCTATTTAATATGCTTCTAAAATAGAACCTTTTATAGAAGGTTCATCTGAAAGAGCAGTTTGTCCCGAATGGTTCAAAATAAAAGTGTTCTTCAGGGTTTTTCATTGTTTTATAATTTCATGTGTACATAACTGATAAAAGAAGCAATGTAGTAAAAAAACAAAGAAGGTCTGAGCTGTGGTTCAGTCTAAATGTGCACTGAACATGTTGATGACACATTTATTCACTCTGGTACACCCTGGAACTGTCTATACAGTTAAAAATACTGAGTCACTGTTGAAGTTGGTTATAAACCTGGTCTGGACTGAAGTTGGTGATCTCTTTTCCTAAAACATAAATTGAAATCTAAATGCATTAGCTACACTGTAAAAGCCTGAATAAATATGTGCAGTGTTTGGAGGAATCTGTAATCCCTCAGGTGCCCAGGTCCATCGCAGAAAAAAATGGAATTCTATTCTCATCTGAGCCAAACATGTTTTGTCACTCATCCAAGAGGCTTCTGCAGTTGTGAGTGGATACCCAGCACACACTAGAGGGACTATGTCTCTGGGCTGGCCTGGGAACGCTTTGGGATTCCCCCGGAAGAGCTGGAGGACGTGTTTGTGGACAGCTCCATGACCTGGCCCTGAAAAAAGTGGAAGAGAATGGATGGAGCTAACAACTGTGGGATTCTGTTGTATCTTGCAAAAGAAAAAAACAGGCGCAGAGACATGGAGATCATTCTGCAGTACCTTTAATGATGTTACAGCCTGGATTCACAGCATCAGGGTGACACAGAGGTTTAGTATTGTCCATTATAAATGTTATTTTTAGCTGATTTATGATGGGAATCTTCCAGAGTTTCTGCAGCTTATGACAAATCAAAGTAACTAGAATTATCCAAGGTAACTGTAAGCAGAACATTTTGCCCTTTACCTGTAGCAAGCATTAAGTATGAAATGAATATAATGAGATGACTGTTACACTACACTGAAAGTGTTTACAGTAAAGACTCTCGTTATTAAGTCCACAGAACTATCCTAAGGTGTGAACTTTCACCTAGTCATTCAGACTCACCAGTGACTCACTGGTTTGCTGTCAGAAGTGAAGCCACTTAGATTTGTGAAATCTATTCACTGTAATAACTTTAAATAAAATAAAATGCCAGAAAAATTGGTTTGAGCTGATTTTGAGACAATGAGCCCAGGGCAGCTGCAAACACTCTGGAAAGTGTATACTGCTGCCCCCTACAGCTCTTAACTACTCACTACACTGACTCCTCACTACTCACTCCTGATCAGATCTCCCAAAGCAACAGCAGAACCTTACACAAAAGAACTTCTTTTGTCACACTTACATGAACTTCTACAGCTGATGTTGTTCTAGCTTCTGAGGTAGTTTGAACAATTTGTACCAGAAGGTGGTCTCAGGCTGCACCAGATGAAACTGGCTGTCACACCAGTCCAGTCCAAACAAACCAAACTCGCAGGTTCTGTACTCGAGTCTGCTTCAAGATGACCAAATTGTGCAGATGTGAAAGCGCACTTTATCTGATCCCAGGAAAACACATTTGACACAGTGTGATTAGCTAAAGCCCCAAGAGATATTACCCTCCAGTGTACACCTGTGCACAAACTGTGCACAACAAAACTTATCCTTGTCCCCTTTGTCAGAAACAAACTGAGCAGAGTAGGATGGCAGGTGCAGTACAAGGGCTGGTCAACAAGATCCAAAGACATTTCAATATTACCTCCAGTTTACACCAGAGCAGTAAGGCGCACATGTTGCAAATTCGATTGGAGTTTTAATGTTTCAGCGTCAACCCAGCGGCTCCAGGCTTTTCAGCAGAGGGAAGACAGGAAATAAGCACGTGGTGTCAAAATGAACTTTTGATGCCCTTTCAAAATACATTTTTTGGGTCTGCCTTGTCGCCCTAATATTACGATTATTTTGATTTAATTATTTATTATTATTATTTTTTAAGTTCCATATAATATCATAGAGGCATAATTAAAAATGAACAAACTTAAAATAAATTTTACACTGAATATAAAAACCCAGCTTATTAATATCCATGTATGGAGGATGCGTGGATGGATACGTGGTATAAGACTGTTCACCTCATCAAACAGGGAAAAGTTAGAAGAAAACGTGTGTAAACAAAGCAAACGCAACAAGAACTACATCAAATTTGTATTTATTGAAAACAACAAAAGGACACGTGTGGCTGTTTGCACAGACAGAGCAGTAGCAATGACTGGACAGAAAAGTGTTGTGCAGACTACCATATTTTCCAGGCTATTAGTCATTAAATGGTCTATTTTTGAACTTTTTTCACAAATAAACCGCACTGGACTTTAAAGGAAACACAACAGTGTGATGGGTGAATGGTTTTGTTTGTTTGTGGCGTTCACAGTGACTCTGGGCTTTGTTCAGTTGTGGCGTGTAGGGAGGGTGTGTCTGAGGACCATCGGATTGTCGGCGTGTTCGCAGTGACTCAGTTGTTCAGTTGTGTCTAGAAGTGGCACATTGCACTCGCTTTTTTCGGTTCGTTCCTCCGTTCTGTTCCTCGTCGGTGTGGAGTGATGAGTGTGTCTGTGGGTGTTTGTGGCTGTGCGGTCGCTGTCTGCTCCGTGTGTGTTTGTGTGTTCTGCGGGTGGTGCAGCTTTGTAGTTTAGTGAAGTCATGCTGGGACACCAGGGTGGATTTGTGTATAAGGCGCTCTGGATTGTGGGGCGCGCAGTCATTTTTTATGGGGTTAGAGGCTTAAGAGCAATAGCCCGGAAAATACGGTAAGTCTGTTGATCCAAACATAACCACAGATGCATGTTATCGTGGGCCAGCCTTGCGTTCAGAGACATGCTTTTTAACCTGGTACATTGTGAATTAGCATTTGCATACTGAACAGATCTTAGATTACAGAAGGCCATACATAAAAAATATTCCAAAGTTGCTGTTTAGAAAGTATCCACCTTAAGCAGAGAATAAACAGTGTTCTCTGCCACGTCCCTGGGTCCTGTCAAAACAAATGGAAAATATGATTATATTATTATATATTGGCTAAAATGAAAGTTTTTATGTTTTTTTAAATGAGTTTTATTATGCATTAACTTGACAATGAAAATGACTTACTTTTGCCTTTGTTCTTTCTAACGTGAGCGTACACCGTAGTCTCACTGCTCTGCCTTTGGTCTAAAAATACATTTATTGTTAATTAAAAAATAACTTAACACTCATAAAGTCATAGTTAAGCATTATTCCAGAAGTTTTTCACTCATGGATCAAACTTGAGTGCCATAGACTGTATGAAGAAGTGGACCAAATGAACCACAGCATTCAGCTCCAGCCAAATGAAGCTAATTGATTCTGCAGTTATAGTGGCAAATTTGGAGCCGAGTTTCACAGGGAGCAGACACTTCAGTCAAACCTGCTACTAACGCTTGTGAGAGCAAGTTTGGGAAAAGAAGGCACCTCACTTCAGAAATTAAATCAAAGAGAGGCTTTCTGGATTCATAAACATGTGAACATCCGGGTTTGAATGAGGACTTTGATCCATCTTGTTTTTTATAAATGTTTTTTTTAATAAATGTTGGATTTATGACCATTGGAGGCTGATAGGCTCTCTATGTATATGTTATTATGTTTATTATTGATAATGATGATGGCAATAATAATAAAAATAATAAATAATACAAATATAACATTAATATAATAAAATACAATAAAAAATATACTTAAACAATAAATAATAATAAATTACTGGTAATATAATAATAGAAACATTAATGGTAATGATAATGTGTTATGTTTTTTGTTTATGTATTTATTTTCTTTATTATATTAGTGTGCACATTTGTGTGTATTGTGTTTACATAATTTTTATTTTATTTTTTTGCCTGTGTCATGTCCTGTGCCGCTGATTATGCACCTGTTTTGTCTGCCTCCAGTCGACTCCATCCTGCTATTGGTTAATTGGTTGGAGTTTTACTTGAAGCCCACGCCCAGGCTCTGTTTTAACTAAGCCCTGATGAAGACCAGTTAAGGTCAAAACATGTCGGCTTTGGCCATTCAAATAAAGGCCTTTTAATTATATTTTTCCTCGTGCGATTTTTTACTTTTTCTACTTGTGTGGAGTGCCTAGAGTCTGTTTTGTTTAAAGGCACCTCATTTGTTATTGTTTGTTATTCATGTTCATATCTTGATTTATGGTCCAAATATTTATGACAATGAAAATAAGTTCTTTTTACAGGAGCGTACAGTGTAGCCTCACTGGTCTGCCTTTGGTCTAAAAATGAATTCTTTGTAAAAATTATGCAAAAAGTAATATTTAGACAAGAAAATGATTTAAAGTAATAAGGACATTTTACTTGATTTGAGTAGATTTGAGTTGACAAAAAGAAAAGATCTACCAGTGGAGTACGTTTTTAACATAAGATTTATAGTTTATTTTTTTAAGTGCAAAAAAATCTCTTATCTTATATTGTAACAAGAGTTATTTACGTCTTTTATCTATAAAAAGTATTTCCAATTGGTACATCATTTTCTTATACTAAAATCAAGATAAAATGTTCTTAATTCAAGTCATTTTAAAAGCCGTGTCCTAAGGTTGTTCCCTCATCACAAACAGACCTGGAGTTGTGTTTAATTTCATTCACACATGTTTGAATAACTCTTTATTATTAGTTTGTCTACATCTCCAAAACTCAAAACGCCCTGTTCCACCTTGTGATGTCATCTAGTATTGGTAGTTTTCAAGTTTACAGCTCCTTTAACTTGAGTTCAGTGGAAATTGGCCATTCCAGAAATGATCCAAATGAATCTCGTGGAGTTTAAAAACACAGTGGAGCGTTTCCTAAGGTATCACATGACATCATAAGGTGGAAAAGAGTGTTTTCTGTTTGAGAGAAAAACTCCGTCTAAATATGTAAAATGTGTGTTAAACATGAGTGTGTGAATGAAACAAAACACAACTCCAGGTCTGTTTGTGATGAGGAAACAACATTAGAACACAGGTCAGAAAAACTGAAAATAGAGTAATATAGGCTCTTTATCAAACAGCATGTTGCATATTTTCCACTTACTCTTTTTCTTCTTGTTCACTGTGGAGTACACCTCCCGTGGAGCGTCGTTGCTTGGTTCACGAGCTATAAGTAAAAATACATTTAAAAAGCTGAATTAAAAGTTAGAACATTGAGAACAAGACAAAGCTTTTTAGGCCACTCCAGTTTCAAATGACATGTAGCTATTGTCAGTTTTTTATGTGTTAAAATATTGTTAGGATAACCAACTAATCTTCTACTGCTATGATGAAACTGATGTGCTGCTCTACAGTTATAGATGTACTGCTATATTTTATTATATTACTATTATAATTCACTATACAATGACCCAGAAAACAGGGACTAGATTACAGCTGAGGGATGCAGAGTTAGGTTCAGTTCATGTACAAGATATACTTTTTCTATCTATATGTCTAATCAATTAAGTAAATAGGGCAAGGACTTATTGATAGGGACATGCAGACTCACGACTCATCACCCTGATCAGAAAAGCAAGACACTCCTGTAAGAGGAGTGAGATGAATCCCGGGGATCCTTGTCACAATCGGATAAGATTGTGCAGTGTGCCAAGAGGTGTGGCTGACCTGTGCACCAACGAAGAGGCACTAAGTCTAAACCACGGTCGCCTCCCACTATAGTTTGTGTGTAAAAATCACTGTATAGGTGTAAATATTGAGCCTCTGCATGGGAATGTCAGCACAGACTCCTCGTACAAGTATGACTTTGGAATAATTCAAGTTAATGCATCTAATATAAAATGGATTGAACAGATACATATGTACTCTAGTTTATGAAACTGTTGACCTTTTTTCTGTACCATTTTTGGTTTGTAAGTTACATCCGTTTTAAACAGACCATGTATGAAACATGGAACAAAAATTATTTCCCAAATTTCAAAGACCCAAAAATCATGTAAATAAATGGATGTATTTCATCATATCTTGTGTTATTCCATCTTTGAACTGTTGATGAAGGGACATGATTTTTCAAAAAAAAAGTATTTAAAATGAAAAAAAATTGCTTGGAAGGACTGACAAATTTTATAGAAATAGTTTCCTTTCATTTGGAAGTAATATTAAAGTATTTGGAAGAAAAAAGCGACAAATGATGTAAAATCCTGCACCTTCTACTTGTTTGTACAATTTTCCCTCCGTTACTTTTCCCTCCGTTACCATGACCTTTCTTAATAAAAAATCTCATGACTCAAAAAGTAAGAGGTTTTTCAACCTAATCTTGTACCATATGGTAGAAAACTATATGAAGCAAATATTCAAACCAGTTTGTTAAGGATATGGAAGTGAGAACCAAGAGTTATCACTGTTTGGATTTATTGCCCAAAAAGTGCTGCATATTTCATTCCCTCCGTTACCGACATGAGTTTTTAAATTTTTTGTCAACAACTTGAAAGAATATCACAGGTTTAACTTGACCCTGTTGGAGTGTAACTCTTTCCTACATTCTGATACTTTACTTATTTCAATAGTCCCTCTAGTTTCTGAATAAGAGACATTTGAATGTCAAAAATCTGCCCCTGTTTCCCTGCCGTTACCACTTGACTGGACCCTTCTGTTTCAAGTGTAATTTTTTTGTCTAAGCAGAAACTAAAGAACATGTGAGGAAAGGGTTATTTTCCTCAACATGTATATTTAAAAAAAAAAAAAAAAAAAAGCCCTAAGCAGTGGCAGTTCTAGGGCCACATATTACATTCAGGGGCAAGTACAGGGTACATCCAAGCACACAAATGCAGCGGCGGCTCATTTATTAAGGCCGCAAGGGTGTCTCCATTAACATAATAACAATAAAAAGAAATAAAGCTCAAAAGTCAAAACTCTGATCAAGCGTTGTGTCAGCTGCCAGTTGTCCCTCCAAATTCACTTTAACATGAGATTGTTTCTATTCATTAGAAAGACAGAAAGCCCTCCTCCTAAATGGGGCGCCGGCAAAACCATCTATTCTATTAGGATTTGTAACAGTAATTTCACCAATAAAAGATTTTGATTGGCACGTTTCACTTCGGGCTGAGGGCACAAACTTTAGCACCCAGACCAATGATATCACAGTCTCTGTTTATTTAGTGTAATGTGATTGGACAAATATTCTGTCACTCACGTCATGTTAACCTGCTGCGTCAACTCGCTTCATGAAGGGAAATCACCGTTAGCAGCTTCACGATTAGTGGTGATTAGCTACTTTCGCTTAAACCTCCACACAGGAAAGCACAAGGAGAGACTCAGAAGGAGCTACAGAGCAGAGACACTGAGAGACCCGCCGCCTCTGCCCGCACATTTCTGGGTGTAAACGTTTGACCTGTGCATAGCGCAGAGGGCTTACCTGGTCTACCAGGTCCTGGAGTGCTAATATGGACTGGTGTCACTTTCAGATTTAAGTGGGAAGTGGGATTAAGTTGTTTTACAACCAGCTCATGCACTGGGCTCCCGGACCTCGTGTCACGGATCTGATCTGACCGGTACATGGACCAGTTTCATGACTTCCTATTGGACAATACACTTTTGGAGACAGAACCAACTGGACTGCGGATAGAGGAAATACTCTGCTTCAGTCTCTGGAGGTGAGAGGCTTGTTTTCATTAGTCTGGAACAAATCTGAAGATGGAGCCTCACAGGTAAATAGTGTTATAGTGTTAATAGTTTAAAGTGTTAGTGTTTATGTGTTAATAGTTAAATAGTTAGTGTTAATAGTGTTAATGTTAGTTAATAGTGTTATAGTGTTAATAGTTAAATAGTTTATAGTGTTAATAGTTTAAATAGTGTTTATAGTGTTAATAGTTAAATAGTGTTATAGTGTTAATAGTTAAATAGTGTTATAGTGTTAATAGTTAAATAGTGTTATAGTGTTAATAGTTAAATAGTGTTATAGTGTTAATAGTTAAATAGTGTTAAATAGTGTTAATGTTAATAGTGTTAGTTAGTTAAATAGTGTAAATAGTGTGTTAAATAGTGTTATAGTGTTAATAGTTAAATAGTGTTATAGTGTTATGGTTAAATAGTGTGTAAATGAACTCGTGGATGTGATGGAGCCACTCCGGTTGTTCTGCTGTGTGCTGTAGGAGCCAGTAGTGACCAAAATGACTTATATATAGCCTATATATCAGGGGTATTCAACTAAAATTTGAGGAGGTCCCGTCAGAGAAAATCTCCTCAAGCAGAGGTCCGGGACATCATAATGTCTAACTTGCATCATGATTGTGATACAAAAGTAGCCAAGTTTTATCAATGTCTCAATGTATGAACAATAGACTCAAATCAACAAAAATACAAGTTAAAAACTTTTCAACAAAATGTATTGTTAACACTGAAACACACAATAGACCTACATTAGATACAGGGCTGTGGTTTAAAATTAATAAGAGAAAATAAATAAAATGGCTAAATTGGGCATCTTAAAACAAAGTGCTAAATTTTAGAAAAAAAAATAGCAGCTTGAGTTTCCCTTTTTCATTAGCTTTCACATCTCAACTTAACAGTCTCAGTACATTTTTCGACAGATCTCAAAACCTCTTTCCTCTGTGTCTGTGTTCAGAGCTGTGATCGTCCTGAATCCTCAGATTTGATTGGCTCAGTATCGTCACAGTTGGTTTGTATGTTTCATGGTCCATTAATACAATGCTGTAAAGTTTAGAGCAGAGGTGCCCACACTTTTTCAGAATGTGAGCTACTTATAAAATGACCAAGTCAAAATGATCGACCTACTACAAAAGTGAAGAAAGTGTGTAAGATTTTTAAATCTGTTTTTTTCAAGTTCCTACCTGGAGTTACATTCTCTTACTGGTTTTGCAGTGGGATTTACCTCTGTACATTTATCAAAGCAAACGCACAACGTGACAAACACAGATGCATTTGTGCACTTTTATTAGGCTGTCACATGTCGCAGTAGGTCTGTTCTGTGCTGTAGGCTCCTCTGTGCCAACACTGGAAGATACATTTAGATTAGTTTTTTCTTCGTGTTTGGTTTTGCTCTTCTAATCAGCGCAAAGAGGAGGAGCCTGTGCACTGTACACTGAAGTGAGGCAGATGGACAGGTAGGATGTTTTTAAAAGTTTAACCTGTCCTATGTACCACACTGGTACATGAGGACACACGCTGTTGCAGACAAGGCGTGCGCAGGGAGCGTGTGTGTTTGTGATGTGCCGCACAGTATCTGCGAGTTCCAATGAGCGCACAGACTGCAGTGAGATGCCCCGCCCACTGCCGCACGCTGCCGCACCCTGCCGCACACTGCCGCACACTGCCGCACGCTGCCGCACGCTGCCGCAACCTGCCGCAACCTGCCGCAACCTGCCGCACACCAGTACAAGTTTATTGCTGACAGCAGCGGCCGTAATGAATTATGATCGCACTTGTCGAGTGTCAAACCTCGAGTGAGAGACAGGACTGAGTCCAAACGTGAGACAAGTACTACGACACTGAGATCTACCCACACTACCTCTGCGACCTGAACCGGGGAGAGCACGGAGGATGGACCGCACAGAACAACATATAATGAACCAAACTGGATTCATGCTTCTGTCCGGATGCTTTGCACCACCTCGGAACCAACCACGGTCCTAGAGTGCGGAGGACAGGAACAGCCCACCTGGACCTGCAGTCTGCAGCGCATTCTCATTTTCTCCCCATGGAGGACGTCACAGAGCCTCTTGGATCCAGTCCATTGCACCAGTGCATGGAGGACAGAGCCTCCAGACACAAGCACAACACAAGACCAAGGACCGGACCCCCAGCCCCGTTCTGGTAGGCTGCGAGCTACGGTGAGTTCCCTGGGTCTTTAGCGCTGTTGGCTGCTGCTGTTACCCAAGCTCAGAGCTTCTGCTCTGGGCTGATGTGCGGTGAGTTTGTACAAAGTTCTACATGCTGCTGTTTTATGAGTTTATGGTGATAACTTGAGATGAAGACGGCCCGCTGTGTTAACTGGGAACATTGATACCTTTCACAGTTGGAGGTAGCGTTGTTGCCCTGGGGAACATTGGCCTGACCTTGTCCAGGTCCATATAGGAGGGCGTCTGGGTCCACCAGTCAGTGACGCCTGCTATATATAATACTGATAATATATAATAATATATATAATTGGCCTTTGTGCCCCCCCAAAAATGATTCCACCAGCTGCCACTGCACAAATGATTAATTCAGTACAGTGCAAATACAAGCACAGACAGTAAAAAAAAAAAAAAAAAAAAACTCCACAGGTATGTTTCTTCTCCCATTAAGTTGTATTGATGCAATAGGTCTACTGCCATCAAGAGTTTGGGGGTAGAAATGCATCAGTGATCATTGAATTCTCCGGTTGTTCTTCTCGTCAGTTGATTGACAGAACAGGGGCACTTCAGGGGCCAGTCAGGTTAGAGGTGGGGGACTAGAACTGCCCCTTCTGGATATATATATATATATATATATATAATATATATATATATATATATATATATATATATATATATATATATATATATATATATAGGCGTGGTAAGTACTCAAGGGATTAAGGTTAAGGTATTTTAAAATGGTCCATATTACTATTTCCTGATCTGTTATAATGTTTTGTCATCACAAACATGTGCACAGTTGTGTTTTGTTTAATTCCCACATGTTTAAAACACAAATCCTGCATATTTAGGCTCAAACAGAAAACCCCAATCTCAAAAGAGAAAGGGTAGCTCTTAATTTGGAAACTACATGACATCACAAGGTGGAATAGAGTAAGACAGCACCAGTTTCATAGAGACGGTGACTCAATACAAAGTGAATTGGAGCCGATGAAGCAGGAAGCATACCCATGCTCACTTCCTATTTGGAATGTAATGACTACCAGGTTAGTTATGTTCATTTGTATAAACAGTTTACGTTGAGAAGAGATCATTACAGAAGTGTATGTGGAAAGTTCTCATTCGTTTAGATATATTGGTCTTTTGCATTGCACATATCATTGTGGTTGAACACTAACAAAAGCACAGTAGTGATTAATTTTGTATAACAGCTATGAGTTTTGTGAGGTACCGTTTTGGTTTCGTGCAGTCTTGTTGTTTTCAATCACAGAATAGATTTCTGTGGGCTGTTCATACTCGGTTGTGGCTGTAATAGAAAAAACAATAAATGGTTATAAATGTGTTTGGCAGTTACACATCTGTAAATATTACGTGCACTTTGAGTTTCACTTCAACCTCGACCAAGGCGGTCTCACGTTTAAAGAGGAAGTGGTTCGTTTAACAGCACTGCACAGAAATGTTACTAACTCTGTTGTCAAAACATGCCACAGAGTGAAAGTTATGAGGCTTTGCACATGAGGACATTTTATGCATTGACTGTTTAAAGGTGCACTGTGGAACTTTTCTGGCAGAGGGTTCGCCACCTGCTTGACCCCATGGAGATGTTATTGCTTTGTCTTGAATGTTCTTCAGTCTGGCATTAAACTTGTCTGTCTTAATAGAGAAAAGCAGGCAACACCACCAGAACAAGTTACAGGTCAGATCCGTGGAGAGGCGACCCTGTTCACTATAAGAGTGCATGTTTTTCAAGGGATTTTGAGCTATAGAAACACTTGTACTGCGATAAATGCATGATGCAATACTGTGGAACATTCTAGGCAAAGTAACATCCCCATGGAGACTTATGAAACAAAGAATAAAATATTATTTATTTAAATATAAATTGATTTACAATCAGGAATCTGAAACTCATGACTAGATAAAATTGGCATTTATCACCCACTTTAGCACCAACTACTTTAAAGAGCCCATTATTACATTATTTTCTGATGTTATCTCCTCATCAAAAACACACTTTGAGTTGTGTTTTGTTTCATTCACATGTGTAACCAGGTGGTCACAGGGACTAGATTTTTCCCTCTATATTGGGTCTGCGATTGCATCTGCCTGTGTGTCGCTGTGCGTGGCTCCCAGCATCACTGACTAGTGAGTAGAAATAGGTTAAGGTTAAGGAGCTGTTGTCAGGGCTTTTCGGCTCATAGCTGTACGTGGCACATGTTAGTAGAGAAGTTGCTATCCGTTGTTAAAAACCTGCCCTAATGTGTTGTTTGTGGAATCCGGGTTCAAGCTGCTGTGTGGAGTTGGTGGTGACGACGGCCGCTCCTATAGATGCATCAAGAATCTCAGACTTCTGGTCATTGTGCAATTCATACTGGGAAGGATTTTCCGAAAAAGTGAGCATCAAACCTCCATATTTGTTTTCCCAGTGGGATGCGTCTATTGACAAAGTCAGTCTTTTCAAGTCTTTTGAACCATATCACTTTTGTTTCTGGTTCTGATATTGTCATATTTTAGTTTTGGGATTCGGACATTGTAATTGTGTGGTTGTTGGATCCTAACAGCGGAAAACGGCTTAAGAAATTTGTTTGAAAACTCCATAGATGCAAAAGTGAATAGATGTGTGTGACTCAAACCTCTGTTCAAACTGTTTCTCTTCCCAACGGAATTGAAAAATAGTGAAAGGTGAAGGTGATGGGCAGGATTGATCCACAGGAAGAACCAAAAAGGAAACCTTTGACTGTCTAAATCATTTTGAGTTTGCAGCGAACATTTTGTATGTGGAGTGTTTAATTAGTTTGTTTTGTTTTTCATTAATATTTGGCTTGAGATTACTAACTTTGATTTGTTATCTTTAGTTAGGGGGATGCTGAATCCTGCATTTACAAGGGTTGAGTTACCTGTAGTTATTTGTGTACCAAAAAAAAAAAAAAAAGGAACATGTATATATTCTCTTTTATGCCAGAATGAATTGTGTGAGAAATTAATAAGTGGATCTAAATCATCAGCACAGTTTTTCTCTCAAATGGAAAACACTTGTGATCCACCTTGTGATGTCATGTGGTATAACAAGAAGTGTTTTTAAACTCATTTGAAGAGGTGGATTTAGCAATTTGAGGACCCTAGGCAAACGTGAATCTGGGGCCCTCACTATAATGCACATTTGTTTTGTTTTGTTTGGTTTTGTTTTATTTAGTTTTTAAAAATATATTTATTGTCTGTTTTTCCCCATTGTTCTTGAGACATGCACATCTCTCTTTATTTGAATTATGGTGGACGGGAAACTTGTCTTATTAGTTCAGTCGCTTACTAGATAACCAGAACTGAAAGTAGTTTTATTTTTTTTGCTAGTGCAATTACATTTGTGTTTACATCCATTACATATGATTATTATTATTTTTCTTATGATTATTGCTTAAAAGTAAACTACTCTCCCTAAATGTCATATTGAGAGAAAATCTAATTGTTCTGAGGCTATTAGTGGCACTGAGGGCAATTGGTTGGGGGCCCCTTCAGGTTCGGGGGCCCTAGGCAGCTGACTGCTTTTGTCTAATGGTAGCACCACCTCTGCTCATTTGTATAATTTCAGCCCTGGAATTGTCCATCTCTACTGAACAAAACGTAAAAGGGAGTTGTTATCTTGAAAACTACCACCACATGACATCACAAAGTAAAACAGGGCATTTTGAGCATGTAGACAGACAAATAATACTAAAAAACGTGTGAATGAAAACAACACAACTGAAGCTCTGTTTTTGATGAGCAAACAACATTCTAACATGTCTTAAAGCTCACAGGAGTCTATTTTGTGTAATATAGAACCTTTAACCAGTGAGACCTAAAATATTCTAATGATCTTAAATGTTTCTTACCTTGATGTCTGGAGGTGGGACCACGATGACTTTTGCATTTTTTATAGATGAACACCAAAACTATCAGCAGCAACGGCAGAGCAGCTAGACCAGAGACCAGTGTCCATGTAGACCCTGTTGCACCTGAAGAATCAGAAGTGATGAAGCTAGTCCCTGAAATAAAATGAATTAAGGTTTCTGTCATTCTAACATGTATTCAATTTTTTTTTTTTGTAGCTGAAATTCCAATTTATACAATACTGTCACTGTTATATTAACTTCTAACAGTAAATACAGTATGTGTCCCAGTTTTCCACATGAGTATGGACCTTCACTTTTAGCTGGGATCATTCTGGGTTTATTAGTGAATGCCGAATCACTTACATCACTACAGAGGTTATTCATATTTTGCAGTGGAATCACAGTGGGGGTGTCCTAAATGTATCTCTATGGTGGAATGTTCACCAGTTACCATGGTAACACAATGCACATCTTAGCAAACAAAATAAACAAACAAAAAAACGCAAGAAAATGTTGATTTAAACAGCACATTTTCAGGAGCCTGTGATAAATACGAGTGTTCGTGGTCCAGTTTAGGAGTTTGATTTTCAACAATAAAGGTGAGAGTGACTAAGTGAAAAACTGTTGGTTAGTTAGCTTGTAACTATAATGTCATTTGAGAGGGATCTGTTTAAGCAGCACAAATGATCTCACCAGTTTAGTTCCAGCTAAGTCAGTTCTTAAAGGTTGTATGGAGGCCTTTTTTTTTGTTTCAAATTGTCAATGAAAGTTTAAAATACCATTACAGAGGCTGCGTTCAGACTGCAGGGCTTAACGCTCAATTTGGATTTTTTGTGAAATCCGATGTTTTTGCGTGGTCATTCACATTTCCAATTAAATGTGACTTGTATGTGAACCCCTGTGTGAACATTAAACGGCCCAAAAGTGTCCCACATGTGCACTGGAGACACGACGTCAACCGCAGTGAGCGTGCTCTGTGTTTACGGAAGTTGTCCAAACATGGACGCAGCATTGAGCACCTGGAGATTTTAAAGTTCCTCTCGTACCGGAGCCAGAACATGAACAACTTACTTGTTTTAAGGAGGAGATTGAGAAGGAAAAGGACGAGGTTTTTGGTCGTGGTGTTTTGTGGGACAGTGGCAGCGACGTCCGTTGAAAGGAACGTGTGGATGTGGAGACGGAGCCAAGAGTGGTGAGTGGTGATGTGCTTCACTTCAGTGACATGGAGTTCATTAACAATTTTTGCCTACTTCAGTGCAGAATAGTGACGTTTGTGGCTTGCTGATAACGTGTAGGTGGATGAATGCACTTTGGCCGTTCAGACTGAAGTCACATGTCAAAAGATCGGATATGTATCAGTTTTAGGAGCACATATCCAAGTGGCCTGGGTCACATTTGAAAAAATCGGATCTGTGTGGTTCAGACTGACATTAAAAGATCAGATACAGGTCACATAGGGGCCAAAAAATAAGATCTGGGTCACTTCAGGCTGCAGTCTGAACGCAGCCAGAGATGCAGCAGTCTTGTAATTATGATGACCAAAAAAAAAGAATGAAAATCTTTCAGCTGTGGACGTAGTGAGGCCAGATAAACATCAGCCAATAGATAACCAGGCTCCCTCATTTTTTATTGGCTGTCAGGTTGTCAATCAAACTCCCTACGTTTCTAGTGTAACTGACTCGCAGCGCACAGGGATTACGTGGTTTATGCAGCGGTTTTTAGAGGCTTTTTAAAACTGTTGCTTCCTCGCAATTCGCACAAAGTTTGTCGCGATGGTGGACGAGAATCCAGGACCAGTTTGCTGCAAAAGAAAGTCTGTTTTTGAGGTCGCTGAAAGAAGAAGAGAAGGGGAAAAGGAGCGAAGCCAGACTGAGGTGATTCTTGGAGATTCCTTCCAGCGATGGCGCGACTGAAGCAGACAAAGGGGATAAAAACTGACGCATCGGTCGCTAAATTATTTCTAGACAGGTCTTTTCAACAGTAATTCTGAACGTGCGCTGGCTGCAAACAAGCGTGATTTCTAGAGTAAAGAGGCGGGAGGAGGTGTTTCTATTGAGCGAGTTGTGGAGGAGGAAGGTGGTGTCACGCATGCACAACATTTGAAAAAGGGCTGTCGCTGTATTTCTCTTTCCTTAAAAAATCCTCTATACAACCTTTAATAGCCTTTGTGTTAAAGTCTAATAGTGCTTGTGACAGAGTAGTGCATTCAGTTAGCATCACACCCCCAGGAAGTTTTGATGACATCAGCTGCAAAGTACCAGTTGGAGTCTCTATATTTTCTCAGGTGGAATTTGGTGTTTAACTGTCAGATTGCAGGTTTGTTGACTTGGCCTATGCACAAAGCTTTTCTTTTCTGTCCGTATAAATAAGCAAAAGTGAAATGATCTTTTCACAACAGTAGTTTCAGAAAATGGTGCCATTATTCAACTCTACTCAACTCTCGATTTTTTATTTTTTTTTTTTTGGAATAGGAAATGTCCCAGAATAAAATGGACTAAAATGCAAATGCCAGTAAAGAAAGGAGGTCTGGGTCTCCCTAAATGAATTCTTTATCATTATGCCTTCTGTATGAGACACATTGCTCCATGGGCACTGCCACCTGAACGAGCCCCTCTGTGGATGGGAATAGAATCCAAACTGTTCTCTCCACTCAGCCCAAAAGACGACCTGTCAGATTAAGTCCCATCCCGTTATAGCTTAATATACGGAAAAAGATTTCACATATATTTAATTTAAATGTAAATTAATAGTGAATCTTGTATCTGGAACAATCTTTTAATAGATAAACAGTGTGTTTTGTGGAAGGACTGGTTTACTAGAGAAATTGTTCAACTTAGAGACTTGTATGAGGAAGATACATTGAAATCATTTGAAAAACTGACACTTGAATATAACCTGCCAAAAAACTATTTATGGAAGTATCTGCAACTCAACTCAACACAGTCAATGGAAAAGACTCTTCCCCTCAGCAGTCAACTCTTCTATCACAGATAATTTAAAAAATGGGATTGGGACATGAGGCATTTTTTTATTATAGTCAGATTTTTCAAAATAAACAACTGATGCTCTACTCATTAAACTTAATCTGCTCATCAGATCCTAATATTAATCTGACAGATGATGACTGGAAACACAAATAAGCTGTCTGGAGATGTGATAATCAAGCTAATTAATTTGAAAATAAAAGGAAATACCAAGTCAAAGGAACTCTGACGCCCCTCCTCTGGGAATGTCCTTTGATACAAATTGGAGGAAGATTCATGAGTGTATAAAAACAATCACCCAAAACACTTTTGAATTTACCCCTCAGCTTTTTGTTCTGAGTGATCCAAAGATGACCACTAGATGTCCATCATCAGAGTTTATTCAAACTACTATTATGATTGGATATCAAATAATACTGAGACACTAGAAGGACTCAGAGGAGCCAGCGTTCCATGAGAGGTTCACAGAACTGGCTAATGTAGCCTCTTACGAACAGATGTCATTTAATATGTCAGATCGAATCTTAGTCTACAAAAACAAATGGAAAGCCTACTTGAACTATGTTAACTGTGACAGTGGTGAAGGAAATTAAACTGTATGAAGTGTGGAGTAACTGTAAGGCAAAATGTAAAGGATTTCAATGGTTTTCTGTTGAGGAGGAAACAAAAGCAAACCCAAAACAAACTACTGAAATCCTGAAAACATTTACTCTTGGACAAAATGTACATTATGAATGTGTAACCCAACTGCCTCCCCTTTTAGTTATTAACTTATTATTTAGTGATTATTATTATTTTTCTTTTATCTATTTGTATGCATGAATGTACATATGTATATATACACATGTGTATATTTGTGTGTATATGTGTGTGTATGTATGTGTGTGTATATGTGTGACTTTAAACTGTGGGAATAATATTGCAGGTTTGTGGAGCCAGTCCCAAACAAATAATGACAAGGGTCAGCATTTTTAGATTTCTCTTTTGGATATTTCTTGCAAAAAAAGTACATTTCTCCTCTAGACCTGTAAGGCCCCTGCCCTCCATTTAAGATTCAAAATAGAGAAATCCTGTCTCTCACCTCTCACAGCCAGCCACTGCTCCTCCGACTCTCTGTCCTCTGAGGTTTGGCACTTGTAAACTCCTTCGTCTGTTTTGAAAACTTTGTTCAGAGTCAACTTTCCAGAGGAACTGTTCCCGATCATTTCATCGTCTTTGTAGAAAAAAGTCATGTAGTTTGAAGCGGCCATCTTGTCTCTACAGAACAGAGTCACGTTCTCTCCCTCCAGCACAGGCCGATCAGGAAGCTCCAGGAGCACAGCTGGACAAAACAATCACACTTTAGAAACATCAAATGTGTTCAAATATTAGAACAGTGTCAGGACTCACCTTTAACTTGCAGCAGATTTTCTTTGGTGAACCCCTTTTCAGATACGTTACATTTATAGAGCCCCTGATCAGACAGTGAGATGTTGTGGAGGATCATCTCTCCAGTTGAACTTGTGTTCACACGGACACCATCTTTGTAGAAGTCAAACTTTGTGGAGGGTTTTAGAGTTGGGTTTTTAATGCAACGAAGAGTAACATTATCTCCAACCATCACCGGACCAACTGGACTCTCCAGGATTACATCAGCCGCTTTAAAGTAAATAAATGTTTCATTTGTCAAGACACAAAAACGCTGAAGTCACTGACATCACACAGTTGGTGTCTCTTTAACTGTGGGCTCACACCTCATACCAAGACTATTTATATCTGTACTTATTATTGTATAATTCTGTATCTAAAATGTTCACTAGTCAGAAAACTTAATAGTGTATAATAATGAATAATGTGTCTATAAAATAGATGGTGTAATGCCGTCCTGTACCTGTGACTGTGATCAGGACTCCTTCA